CGAGGATGAGGAGGCGATAAACCCCGGTTGTTCGACCTTTGGTGTGCCTGTCGAAGTGTTTGATCCATTCCAGACCAATCTCATTGGTAGTCCAACCATTTTCGGATGTAGCAATCACCCAGTCGTTCGGCAATTGGCTATCCTCGTACCAAGAAGAGAGATGATGGGTGCCCTCCAGGATGATGAATGGCGGGAGTACCCAGCCTAAGGCATTGATACACTGGATTACGGTGGACCATTTGCGGTTTCCTGGCTGCCGTGTCTTCCGTCTACCACGCCGTTCAGTGCCGGTAACAACCAGTCGAGATAATGCCCATTAAGAACCCAATCTCGTCAAAGTTATAGATATCCGCCTCCTGGATACCGTACTTCGCGATTGTGCTCTGTACAAGCGCGAACCAGCCACGAATAATATCTGGATCTTCGCATAAGGCCCTCTGGTAGTCGTATTTCCGATTGAACTGCGTGGTAAGGTTTGGTTGTCGTTTAACTAAGCGATGCGCCCAGAGCGCGCCGACGCGTCTTGCGTCGCGTTCAGCAAGTAGTCGATTGGCCATATCCTCCACACTGGACAAGCGGGGGGGAAATCCTTTGGAATCCAAGTCGAGGACATACTGAACAATGACCGATCCTTCTAAATCACTCAACTTCCGCGAGTTGGCTGTGATATCGCGTCGTGAGGGTTTGCCCCGTCGGCGGCGGCTCAATTTTGTATGATGGACCGAATGAATCTCAGCTGCACCTCTTAGGCTTAAAGTCGGGTTCTTTTCAAGAACTTGGAGGGCCAAGACAATCTGGCCTTCATCGTTTTTCTATGGCATATTGGAGCTGCGGAGAATATAGGTGTAAAAGAGAGATGTCGCGTGGACGCGATCAATTGGAACTTTCGGTGATATGAAGCTTTCGGTGATAAGCCACGTTATTATTATTATTATTATTATTATAGTAATTATAAACTCAAACCATGCCTGCAAGCCTAGACTCAAAGCCTCTGTCTCCCCTATACCAGTTCGAAGTCCTGAATCCAGCCACTAAAAGCAAAAAGAAAGGCGCAGACAGCCGACTAGGCCATCGAACTAGCCTAGTTCTAGCCGAGCAGCTAGCCTATACTCCAGGAGCCTCCCAGAGCATAGTAGCCACCTAAGGCTGGTATCTTGGAAGAGGCCTTGTTATATGCCTAGTTGCAGGCCTAGTTACAGGCCCAATGATAGATCTTATTGTCGGCTGGGAAGGCTGAGGAGTCAGGAGGGTAGGCTTCTAGAGCCTGATTTCGAAGTTGGCTAGCCTCTTGTTGAGATAAAAGGTCTAGCCGTCTGGACCCTGCAACGGAATCGGCCCCACAATGGAATCCTGGCACCACACCACCATTCCAGACATGACTAACCTCGAGGCAGTCCTGGAAAGTCAGGCTCTTCCTGCACGGCCGGAAACACCACCCCCTAAGCCTACGACTGAGTTCTGGACACCTCAAAAGAGTCAGGACATCCGTATGCACCAGCAGGGTGTAAGGGAGGGCATGGAAGCTAGTGGACGGCTGACAAGGACTCTGTTGGCCAAGGCAGGCAAGGCCCAAGATGCTAAGAGCGCTGAGATTGCATCTTTGAAGGCCCAGGTTGACCACTTGACGAAGGAATTGGAGGCTTACGAGCCACAGGGCCGTAAGAAGGTAAAAGAGAATGCCAATGATAAATTGGCGAGGATCGAGGATACCATCCAATGTAACGGGCTGGGCCCGAGATGGGCCTCGATGACCCTCGGCTAGCTCTCGTATAATCACGGTCCACCAAACCCCCTGGATGAAGCTATTCCCACTCGACCCACAGTGTCGAACCTTCTAGCAGCGCACACCTGTGAGGATAAATTGGCTCTCGAGCTACCAGAGTCTCACATCTCTTCTTTCCTCCCCCAAGTTCAGTGTACTCGTAGAGTCGTCATCAGCTAGTTGCAATATACTACCTGAGACCGTTACAATACAGGCAAAGGAGGGTTCGATGAAGTCCCCGACGAAGAAAAGGAGGAAGACGCGACAGAACAGCCACGCAGTGGAGGAGGCCGAGGAGATAATTGTGTGTAGCTTAGAGACTATTTGTCGGGCCAAAGAGGAGTAGAATCATCAGATTTGTGTGTGGATTGCTTTGCAAATTGGATGAGATAGATGTCTTTATTATGGTGGTGATGGTGGTGCCAAAATTTTATTGTGGGGTCGATTCCGCTGTTGGTCCAAACGTCTACCGGAGGAACCCACATTTCGGCCTCGAGATGTCGGGTTGGGTTAGCCTTGTATGTCCCGGCCACTATCTCTAGGCTCCTGTTCTGGGCCTTCTGGAGGGTTTTTGCAATGCTCCATGGCTGATCCCCAATGGGGTTAGGCCTATGGAAGCTTGAAGCCCCGTAGGCTAGGGCCCTGCGGATGCACTTTGTATAGACCCCCAGGGCCTTGGCCAAGGCTGGGCCAACTCTTATTATATACCCCTCTCCTCGGCCCATTCCTTATATACTCGGTAGGTACTCTCCAGGGTCCGGCAGTCAGTAGAGTATTACGGCCAAAGGCTAGCAGATTATCATTACTAATATATCAAATGGTTATATGCCTTATATCCATCAAAGGGCGTGTTATCGGGGACTTTTAAGAGAATCAAGAGACTAGACATAGGGTGACCCGTATAGTAACCCTTATATCAGTATGATTCTCTTTTACTGTTAATGACCACCTAAGCTCTTCTCCCTTAGAAGTAGCTATATAGCAGTAGTATGAGCTCTCTTTGGAGCCTAGACCGCGGAGTATATGTTGCAGCCAGGTATAGTTCACCCATTTAACCCAGTTAATGGCCTGTGACGGTCCCAGGAATATATTGCAACTAGCTGGTAACGACTCTGCGAGTTTGTCTCGAATGGAGAGAGAAGAAGAAAAAGAGTGAAACACTATGCAAGATACCTGCCGTCTTATTTTCCACACCCTTGGCCTGTGCGCCGATATCGAACAAGATAGAAGTCCACCGAATCTCGAGTCTTGGCCGAGAGTTTGCCGAGGCCTTTACGGGCCAAGCCCGTTACATGGCCCATATCAGGTCCAGTTATAGCAATGAGGTTCAGGCGCCGCTCCCATACTCCTTTTATATCACATTAGTCGCTACCTTGATGGCGCCGCTCCTATTGACTATTTTGGCAAAAGCCTGTCTATATTTCAAAAAGGATATAGTGCCTCTCTGCTGCGTAGACAACATATTTTTTTTTGTAGCGCTGCCTCTATTACCATACCTACTGAGCTAAGCAACGAGATAGATATAGGCACTAGCCTCCTTTTGTTGCTCAATCGTTTTTCTAGGCTTACGTAGGACGACTACTAATGCTGCTCAGAAGCGGCGTAGGAAGTGCTCCAGCGTAAAGCAGGTGTTCGTGATCTGTATAAGCACCTTTGCTAAGCCCCCCCCCTATTATATACCGTAAGGAAGCTGTTTAACAGCATATCCTCTCTAGAGGCCTTGTTTCCTCCTATATACTACCTATATTCCTCAAGATATCCTCCTTACTCACGCTCTCTCTAGTCCAGTCTAACTGTACTATAGAAGGATCTCTCGTGCTAGTCTCTCTATCAGGAATAGCGGTAACCGACGCTATTATCTTCTGGAAGAAGCGATCGCTTAGCGCTATTGCGTTACTTTTATAGCTAACTATAATCTAGGGTTTTGGTGTTAGCCGGAGCGCTTGTAGAGCTGGCAGCTCCGGCCTAGTATAGATATAGAGCCTCGCCTATTTCTCTATATCTTTCCTGTATTAACTTTATAGCTTCTTTAATGCTTTACGAGAAAGCTACGTCAAGATTTCGTTTATACTCTCTTTAAGAGCCGGTCGAATTTTGCTACGGCCAGCTGATAGTAGTGATATATGCTTGGGGTACGGTATAATATCCAGGCCTTACCGGCCTCCTAGCCTCCTATTACGGGTGGTGACAGATAATGCTAGGGAATCTGGTAGTATCACTAAGATCGCACAAGAAACCAAAACTTTATAGGCTCTACGCAGCCATAGGAAGACCCTGCAGGGCGATGTGGGGCTGCCCACTGACCAAGAGGGTTCCCACGCAAGCCCTACTCTGGTGGGCTTGCCTTATTCAATCTATATGGGATACAACCTTATCCCTAGCACTGGCATTGCCCATGACACTACCCCCTCAAAAACACAAGTTCCGCTCCCTGGAGCCTAGTTCAATTGAATTGAACCGCGCAAAAGCGCTCAAATCTTCGAAAGAACGCAGTTTCTGCTGCTCTGCTCAAATAATCGAAACAGAAATGGGAACCGGGATAACCCATTTCCCGCCTTAGGATACCGATTTCCAACTCCGTCAGTATACTCCGCACTAGCCGAGCCCCTTTAATGATGTCTTTATACTCCGTGGTGCCGTTCGCGATGCCGAAATTTCGGCCGTTGTGGTTCTAGTCGACCACCGGGCCTAGAGTCATCGCATAATGCGTTGCCGTGGTCGTTGGCCCTGTTAGGAATCTCCTCCTCCAGCGGGTCTATAAAGCGGACTCGTCGAAGTCGTTCGCTATGCTTTAGCGGTTGACACTGCTCGTCCTGCTATTTCAATTGTTGCTGACGCCCTCTGTGCCTTGTGACCTATGCCAGCGGCCCTGGCTTGTCCGGGCTAGCATCGTGGAATTGCTATATCGCGTTATCGCAGCCCTGGAGATTAGGTGCAAGTTGCTATGTTGATTCATTATAACCTTCCCACTTGACTAAGTGTTACCAGCCGCCGTTATTGCCTTGCCGTAGTCCAGGAGAAGCTTGAAACGCCATTCTACAGCTTCTTCGCCGTCTTCGCGTATGATGGATCGGCCCTAGTTCGCCCGGACGTTTCGCTGAATTGTATCCTGCCTGAGGATATGTCACAAACTAACCATATATACAGACCCGGTGGGGCACGGGACAGAACACGGGAGCCGATCATTCTCTGAAGGAAGCTATAGGCACCCATACGAGGCTTACATGGTAGCCGTAGAGGCCGAGCGACCAGGGCTAGACTTGGGTAGCTCGTACCATAGGCGAACTATGATAGCTTTTATTAGACTGCGACTATAGGCGATTATAAGGAATCTACCAGGTATATAGTCACTCGTTCTAAAGTGCTCTAGGAGTTTTCCTGTAAGTAATATATGCCGTTAACTATACATATTGTTAAGACATTTCCTTATATACTGGTTGTAAACCCTTCGGCTTCACCGAACCTTACCCCGCCGTCAAGTTATAAGCTTCAAGAGTCCCTTTAGAAATTAGGGCTTCGAGATTTGTTATAGCTTGCTTACTCCCTTTGGTCTATCATGAATTAAACTGAAGATTACTAATCGCTATGGCACCTAACACTCCGACCACTCCCGCTCTATAGGCTCAAGCCGCTAGAGGTACTACGGCGACTACCTAGGCACTTGAGCAGGCTAATGCCTATACGCTCAACTCAACCGAAAGCTGCCCTAGCTACGTGGATAAACCGCCAAAGCTAAGATGGAAGCACCGCCTAAGTATAAAGGATTTAGGAGGAACTCGCTAGATAGCTTATCCAGATTCAAGCCTACTTCCTCTAATATATGGAACGATTCGTCAATAGAGCTTAGAAGGTTGGTTATACGGCCTCCTAACTTAAAGACAAATGTACTTAGATAGTTCGAATTGACCTTGGGCGACTACCTGAAGTACACGGATAACGAAGATAAGTAGGAGGAATTCACTTAGGAGGTATTTGTCAGTTACCTCAAATTTTAGGAAGAAATCTGCAAGATATTTGGAAACCGCGATAAGAAACTACCTAGCAGCGGCTTATATCATTCTGACAAGCTAAGTTAGGAGCGGCCTATGCTACCTAACTCTGACAGGACTCGCTATATTCCGAGAGTAACGACGAAGGGGTAGTAATGCAGTTATTCTATAACGGTCTTAAGGAGTATTAAGGATGATCTTTATAAGACGGACTGGCCTAATAACTGCGATAAGTATGTAGTAATAGCAAATAGGATTAATAACCGCCTATATATGTATAAGTAGCAATGTAAGGGCAAGGTTGGAGTAGCTCCAATATACTAGGTGAACGACAAGTGAAAGCGCTAGTATACAAGTATATCCTATGGTATATACCTAGGTATAATTGATAAAGACGCTATCTTAACCTGGAAGGATGGAAGAAGGGGCACCGCTAGGGATAAGCCAGGTATTGACGACTTCAATCATAGTAAGAAGGAATACTTCAAATATAATTGCTATAGCGGCAAGCAAGATTCGAATCCTGCTCCTAAAAAGGAAATACCTACTATCGATAACGTGGTCCACCATCGAGCGGGACACCCCATCGACCGGGACACTTTTTCCTTCCCTATTATCACCCAACTTCAAGACGCGTTTTCTCTACCACAACAATGTCCGAGAGCTTCCCAGAAAACCGAGTTCTTCTCGCGATCAATGCGATTCGATCAACACCGAGGTTGAGTATCCGACGCGCTGCAAAGATATACAACATCCCCAAGTCGACAATTGCTGCGAGATTGAAGGGCCGGGCTGCAAAGTCCGACAGCTGCACCGGCCGTTCGAATTTGACGAAGATCGAAGAGGGAGTGATTATCCAGTATATACTCGACCTAGATTTCGCGAGGGTTTTCGCCCCGGATTGTCGACGTTGGTGATATCGCCAATCTTCTGCTTCGGAAACGCGGTGCGCGACACGTCGGAAAGAACTGG